TCGATTTGTCTTGTTATTTAAAAGTAACATCTAAATGCAAATATGTTATAAATTTATACGGTTTTTAATAGCGCGTCCTGGCACTTGCTGACGACACATGGAAATTCGACGAATGGAGATTCGCCTTTTTATGTCGATGTAGGTGACTGTTAGAAGAGATGCTTCAATGTATAAGGCTCTTCTAAGCGTAAAATGTGAAATCAAATAAACGAGATTTCCTTTCCGTAATAATTTTGTGTACGTTACACGTGGTTTTCTTTTTCTTAAAATTACTCGAAAGCGGGTCCGGAACCGGATAAGGACCATCACGGTCTCTATGAATGTACTGTAGTTACGTTGGCATTTGCGTGGCCGTGAGAGTTGTGTTTTGATGTTCTGCCTGAACTGAATCTGAGTTCAAATTCAACCGGTACCAATTCTTCGTGCATTTTGCTGCGTTCGGCAATTCTGGTGTGCCGTAATAAGCATACGCAATGCGCAGAATCTCAATGGGTCAATAATTAATCTGACTTGTTAGATGCCGAAGAATAGCGGCTCTCCCACAATGGTTTCGTAGTAACAGGTTAGGTGCCTTGTCTGAGACACTTTTTATTATTCAAAATACCTTTTTATACTATTTCTTACTTATTTTTGCTGCTTTCCATTCGTACTTGAAGCTTTCATAACGATGATTAAAACCACGATAGGTCAGTGACCGTCCAATAAGGGACCACCTAGTGCTAGGGCTCTGCATACTGTAGTTCTTAAAATTCAAGTTCTAGTTTTAAACTTGTATCTTGCATAGAACAGTATGTTTGAGGCTATTGTCATTGTAAACCTCTTTTTAATCAATTCAACAATTTGTTTTTCACTTCATGTATTATCTTAGAAAATGATAAATTTACTGGTCTTGGCGGCTGCGTCAAATGAAGATTTCAAAGCCTTATTTATTTTATTTTCCTGTTTTATTCTTTATAACATGTAACTAGAAGTGTATAAAAATCTAATCTTCCATTTCACAATGTTTTACCATTTCAAACTTTGAGATGACACTAATTAAAACTCTTTTTACAAACCCGAAGAAAACAGCACATTTTAGTCTCTTAACACACTTTTCTACTCGTAAAGTTTTTGGTAGCTTTCATGTTAATTACAATTCATATTTATTTTGAATCCCCTCTGTAGGTACTATGGCAAGTCCAGAAAAACAGTTGTCAAGGAAAACAAGTCTACACAATGTACCATTTCTCAACTCTGTAAGTAAAGTCCATCTTCTCCTTTTCCAAGGTTTCTTTTTTAAATATTTTTTAAGAGAACAGTCTTTAAACTTGTTTGAGTTTGTTTAGGAAATTATTCCAAAATCACATCAACATAGCCCAAATGACAATGATTTTCTGGGATTTTCATCGGAAGATTATGAGAAGTGTGTGATCTAATTTTTGACTTGGTGCTATTTATGTCCGACCAGTTTTTAAAAAATAAAACTCTTATCCTTATTTTTTTCAGGTCATCATCTAGAGCTCTGTGTTCAAAGTTCTTCATTAATCATAGAGAAAGAATCAGCAAAGAACTCGAACAGAGAATCTTACTAAGGAGTGAGTAGCACTTAAATATTCTAATGTTTTCTCACCTGTATTTCATATTTAAGACTTTCATGACTTTGCTAATCTAATAATCTTCCAGACGGCCTCAGTTGCCTCAAGTGTCAGCTGACATTCTCATCTACAACTCACCTTTCCAAGCATTTTATACTGTGTGGCAAGTTCTCCATTTTTGTTCCTGGTACGCTGGTATATTTGACTCAAAATGTTGAACAACTACGTGATACAGTCAGTAAGTTTTGACGGGTATTTTGTGCCAAAGAATTACCAAAAATGATGTTACCAAGATTTCAGATAAATTGTTATGTTTCAGGTGGAATGCTCATTTGTCCATGGTGCCCTGTCCTTTCCGCACATTTGCCTGCACTTCTTAAACACATCCATAAATGCAAGGAAGCTAATAGAAAGAAGAATGAAAAAGAAGTACGTCCTTTGCTATCATGTCCAGAGTGTCCAGTTGGATACCTGTCACTCTTGGATCTTCTTTATCATTTGCAATGTCATTACATTGGTGATATTGAATGTAGTCGTTGTAGTTCATCATTTGCAACCACCAGTTCATTACTGACGCATCTTCAGAAGTGTGACATGAATAAGGTGTTTACTTGTGGTGATTGCGAGAACGTTTTTTCCAATTCCATAGAACTACAAGACCATCTGAGAACATGTGAAAGCATGATTCAGTGCTTGAAATGTGCTGAAGTTGTAGGTTCAAGAAGAATAGCAATGGATCATGTAATTCTGCACTTATCTGAAGAGTGGTCTAAGTTAGGTCTTGAAATGGATGATGGAATATTTTACAAGCTGCCTAGTAATAATCAAACAAAGGATACCACCAAACGACCACTATTACCTAGACACAAATTTAGACGTCGCAAGAAGAAGAAAGTCAAGTGGCAAAGGAAAAAGTCACACACTGTGCCAATCAAAAACAAAACCTTACGTCCAAAAAAGAAAGTTCATAGTGAACCCACCTCTGAAAATTTACAAAATATCTTGAACAATTTTGTGACAAACATTCAATCAAACAGTTCTGAAGATTCTGTTACTCAAACTGAAGGTACTAAATCTTCAGCGAAACATACTTTTTCTAGTGATGGAAATATGTCTGACCTCGAGGATCAATGCACTGGTTTTGGCAGTGTGTCCTCTGATGAGACGGTTTCTGCTGACGACAATTTTTTTGGCGAAGAAAATGAACTGTATGAAATTGAGAATGATGCAGGAGATTCTGAGTTTGTTACAGATACAGAAACATTTACTGCTGAATTACTTTCTAACAACCTCGAAGCTGACATAAATGACAAAGACCCTTTAGAGAGTGACACTAACAATCTCTTTACCCCTTCTTTGGAAGGTACGGATGGATTAACCCTTACTGTTGTGAATGTTGAGGGTGGAGCCAACCTCTTTAACTGGGACGATGAAAACGATTCTCATTTTGCCGAAAATCCCACGCAAGAAAACTTTGAGAACATAACAAGTGCTACAGACTGTAGTATTCGGGATGTTATCACCAGTTGTGATGCTCCTCCAGAAGAAACATGTGATACCACTGATGGAAATGATGATCGAGACAGTGGAATAGAGGGAACCGAAGATGGTGACAGCAACAGAGATAAAGCTGAAGATTTTGATAATCATGCAGATTTAATTGGACACTTGCCATTTTCCACAGAAAACGTCCTGAATGACGAAGTCTCCTCTCTACACGATGTGCATGGAACATCTTCTGACATGGTTCAATTTGAAGAAGTTGTTGTGAATAGTGAAGTAGTTGTTTCCAGTGAAGTTACAGTGTCTAGTGACAGTGTGGTGCCTCAGCATATGTGTGCATCCCCTTCTACTTTTCTTAAAATTGTTGATGTTAAATCAAATTTAAAACCAAAAAGGATTTACTCAGTTATAGAAGAACATTCATATTGCTTACCTAAAGGTCAGACTTTGCCTTGGTTCAAGATTCGTGCTTTAACCAACAAGCAGCTTAGAGCTCAAAAGAAGGCTGAATGTGTTTCACCCAGTGTTGGTCAATTAGAATCAGATAATCCTAACACCCTCGAAGCTGAAACAAAATCTGAATGTTCTATATCTAATATCAAACTGGAAACAGATCATCCTAACAATGTCAATGATCCAGAGAAGCTTATTCCTGAACACCCAAGGAAAATTGTTAATTCATCCAGAATTAATCCAAAGATCAAAACAATTAAATCAATATTGACTAGAAATAAACTGTCAAAATCTATGTTGAATGTTTCAGCCAAGAAAGCTTTGAAAACGCTTCGGAAAACCTCGTTAATCAAGCGCTCAGAAAGAACTGTATTTGGCGAAGTTTGCGAAAATCTTTTGTTAATGGCTCCTGAGAACTCATCTGTGAAAGAACATTTGAATTCATGTTTGGAGCCGGAAAGCTCTCATCTTTCGTCTGTTGGACAGCATATTCATAATGATTCTGTGCATGAAGATATAAGTAATCTGTCAGCAAAAGACAGCATTGTTCTTCCTATCAAACTTGACAGAGAAGAAAGAGAAAAGAAGGAAGTCAATTTTAGTACCCTTGCTTCCTCACCTTCAAATATTACTGTTGAAAAGTCTGCTGACATCCCTAATATATCAAAATGTTCAGATTCTGTGAATTCATTGGATTTACTCTCTGGAACAGACACTCAAGATCCGTTTGGTAATATCCAAGAAGATCAGCCAAATCCAATGCAAAGTCAAAGTACTAATGCAGGAAATCTCAATCCCAATATATCCACCAATCGTTATATATTTGTAAGTCCAGACAAAGTAAAACTACCAGCAAGCGGAAAAGTTATTTTTCCACCAGGTCTTGTTCCTCTTGTACAAGATAACACCCTCATTGGTTACTGCCTGGCATCTTCGCCACTGCCAAATTCGAGTGTCCCCAACCTCGAATTACCGAAAGCTCAAGAACCCACAATTGTATCAAATGAACCGGAAGAGACACCTAGTAATACTACTTCATCAAATTTAAATGTAGAATTGCAGAAGTCTTTTGGAAAGCCACATGTCCTTGTTGAAGCAAACAGCCCATCAACAAGAAATGAATTTTGCCCAATTGTAACTTGTAATGAAACTAATTCTCCTGCAGTAAGCAAATCGGAGGAAAGATGTGCAATGATTTCATCATATGTAAAAGAAGCTAAGTCACAAACTCAGAATATTTTGGGAACTACTGTATTGCTGTCTGAAGATACAAACAAATTATTTTCCACTACAAAAACTGACGTAAAATCAGTTGGTTCTGTGGATATGGCAGCAAGCTCGTCACTCATGCAAGCACTTGTGCAAAATGATAAACCCATCATCCCTATCAGAACTAAATCATTTGCTAATATGGCTACTGAAAACTCACTAATTTCCCAGAATTCTCACTCAGCAAAGAGCAGAGACAACATTCTGACCATTTCAACTTCCTATGAAAAAATATCAAGTGAAGTTAAAAACAAACTTTTGGAAACTAAGGGAGGTAAAGCATCAAATGAATCTGAGAAAAAGCTGAGACATTACCGAAAGGAACAGAGCATGTTGTCTCGTGGGTTCAAACAAATAGCAACTTCATTTCCTTGGAAAACTAATGTCTCTTCAACAACAAACCCTTTGGAAGAAATCTTTGTTACTTCAGAGTCAAGCAAATCATCTCTGATGAAAAATAATGATGAGAAGATTCTTACGTTAGATCCGAACCCCAGCCTCAATGTACTGTCATCAGAAGGTGGATTATATAAGGCAAGTTTAATTAAGATGACCTCAGAGCTTTATTTGTTATGTGGGCAAGCAGGTGAAGCCTGGAAGGATTTAGAAATGGCAGTCCCCCATGAATTGGATTTGGAGTCTGAGTCTCAGGTGGAGAATAGAAATTTAATTAAAGAGGTGAATAAATTACTCCTGAAGTACAAGAAAATCTTGAATGATGTCCCAACCTCAGTACAGAAAAGTGCCTTACAACAAGTTAAAACTGTTTTGGAAGAGGATATTTTCAAAACAGGGCTGAAAGATTTTTTGGCTGACCTTTTGAGTTTAGTGGAGAAACCATGCAGAAAATCTGGCACAGATTTTCTTTCAAGCGAAAAGGATGATATTCTAACTGCAGGTTTGAGGCAGCTCATCACCAAATGTTCTGATGCATTGAGCAATCTTAATTCTAAGACTACTCATGATTCAGGGCTTAAAATCTCAGCTCCTACACAGTCTTTAATGTTTGTAGTTGCTAGTGATGGCAGTTTGCAGCCTCATCCAAATTTCCAATTGCCCCCAATAAATCCATCTATATGCAGTAAGGAAAACTTGCCCCCAGCTTTCCAATCTACTGGCTCACTTTCTTGTGACACTTTAACTCATGATTTTATCCCAACTGAAAAGCCAACCAAAGAAACTATGAATGTATTTGCGCCACCTGTGAAGACTAAGTTGTTAGAAAGTGTTTTGAAGAAGACTGTGGAAGAGAAAAGAAATGTTTTTTCAAGTATTAGTGAAACAAAGGTAGAAAATGTGAAAATATTTTCACCACCAATGAAGAGTACACAATTGGAAAGTGTTTTGAAGAAGACAGTGGAAGAGACACTAAAAATATCTCCAAGTATTGGTGATGCAAAGGAAAAAAAAGTGAATGCATTTGCCCCACCATCAAAAACTAAGCTGCTAACCAGTGTTTTGAAAAAGGCAGTGGAAGAAAAAAGAAATGTTTCTCCTAGTATTAGTGAATTAAAGGAAGAAAGAAGCAAAAAGACCCCAAAAGATTCTAATTCTGATGTTTTTAAGGCTTTACAATCTGTTCCAAATCTGGAGCATTATGACGTTGTATTAATGTCATCCTCTGATGAAGACTCTGATGGAGATTTTAATTTTGAAAGTTGTTCGTCACCTACCAATCTTCATGAAGATGCTTTGGAAAATAATAGTACCCTGCAAAAAGAGGAACTATTTGCAAAGGATACAAAAAGTAGAAGCTCTCCAGAAAGAACAGACTTGTTAGCAATTGATGCTACTGAAAAAGAAACTTCATTTGATTCTGGTGCATTAAAGAGCCAAACTTTAACAAACAAATGTAATGAGATATTTTCTTTAGGAGAAAGTGCACTTAAAGAACTTAACCACACTAAATCTGACGGTGTCTCCAACAGCAATCGAAAGGAATTACCTGATAAAATTATGAAGTCTGGTTTTGCAGAGTCCAGTTCAAGGCAACAATCTAAAGAAAAAGCATCTAAACTAGCAGCAGAAGTTGAGGAAGCATGCCACTTGGTTATTGTAGATCTAGCTTCAAAGAAAGAGAACAATGACGAGGTAGTAAATGAGTCAAAATTAAAAAATAATCCTCAGACTAGTGTGTACAGTAACGTAGTACACGTAAAATTAACAGAAACGAAGTCACCTAAGTCTAAAGTAGCAAACATTGCGCAAACAAGTGAGTGTAATAATGTAGTGCGCATAAAATTCACAGAAACAGGCACATCATTATTGAAAGAGGCAAAGATTCCACAAACAAGTCAGTGTAAAAGTCCAGTGAAGATAAAATTAATAGAGGCAAGCACTTATGAGTCTGATATGGGAAATATTTCAGAAAAAAGTGTGTGTAGTACGGTGGAGGCAAAAGTATTGAAAATAAGCACGCAATCCAATAGAAAGAACAGTCCACAAACAAGTTTGTGTAATAGTATAGTGCAGACAAAACAACTGGAAACAAGCACTCCTGAGTCTGATGTGGCAAACATTCCACATACAAGTGTGTGCACAGTGCAGACAAAATTATTGGAAACAAGCTCATCTCAAGATAAATTTTCTAGCTTAAAGGACACACTGACAAAGGAAGTAAAAACGTCATCTGATGTAATGAAAGCAAAATGGAGAAAATCTACTAATGTAGTAGGAAGGAGAAAGTGGCTTTCACATTTTAGAGTGAACAGTTTTCCCCACCGAAAAATAATGCCCGAAATGAAAAGCTTCAGGAGAAGGGAGATGGGTCGTGAGGGACTTCATAAAGTTACTAAAACTTATTCATTTTCATGCCGGCAATGCCCACTATGGTTCTACACCCAAAGAGACTTAGAACGTTTGCATGTTTGCGCTAGACGTATTTTAGAAAAGAAATTTACTTCAGAACAGTATGACCGTTTCTTTGATGGTGAGATTAATCACGGTATGGAAAATACAATTTCAAAGCTCAAAGAGAGTGAGGAGAATAAAGATAATTGTAAGTTACAAGAAGCAATGAGGCATGAAGAGCAAAGATGTAATAGTGAAACTAAATTTATCAAAGAGAAAGTGCAGCAAGAAGAAAATTCAGGCTTGTCACCCTTTGAAACATATGTAAAAATGAAGAAAATGCGTCACTTTATTTGTGACAAGTGCCCATTAAGTTTCAAAAGCTTCAATACTTTGCATGAACATAAAACTGAGGTTCATACTGAAATTTTATCATTGATATGTCATATATGTGGAAAGCAATTCTCACGTCTGCAGAAACTTGCAGTCCATTGTGCCAAAAGTCACAAAATAAGCATGAAATCTGAAGATTATAACAAGTCTCTTCCGGTGAATGCTACAAACTCATCCTCATCTGGAAAGCAGAGCATGAAAAAAGAGAATTGTAGTAAATCTGAGCATGAAATTGTAGAAGCTAAAAAAGAGGAGCTTTTACCTATGAAACCATCTTTTGCCTGTAAGATCTGCAATAGAGTTTTTCTTGGCTCAGGTGGTTTGCAGTCTCATATCAACCAAGCTCACAGCACTCTTCACAAGTGCCCTTCATGTCCCAGAAGATTTACATATCTTGAAAAACTTCAAAAGCACTGTTTAGACTTCCATTCTGTTCCCCTGTCCAATTTGTTAAAAACAGAAGATCCTGATAAGTCTTCCTCAGAATCCATAATCAACCCCTCAGCTCAAGGAATAGAAAACATTTTGAGTGAAAATTTTACTGACAAACAAGTAATTAAAAGCTGTGACTCCACAAATCTGATGGACAGTAGTTTGGGTTCTTCAATGGAACTTAATACTGAAGGTACAATTGAGTCAAACGGTATTCCCTCAGCAAGCCAAAACCGACCAAAGAAGCGCAAGAAAACCAAGTGGAGAATAGTCAATGATTCATCAGATGAAATGATTAGCCCTGTTAAAAGCACTAAAAATCCAAGGTTATCCGATGGAAGCTCAGAAGAGCTCTCACCTTCAAGATCACTGGTCATTTCATTCAGCAAAATCAAGAAGTCCCAGTATACTTGTAACTGTTGCAGTGAAAGCTTCAAGAAGCACCAATCTCTGGTGCGTCACCTTACGAATATACATAAAAATGGACCATTTCTGTGTACTATATGCAATGTGGAGCAAAGTGATGCTCTGCAACTTCATCTGCACTTGAGACAATGCAATAAGATCCAGCTTACGGATTCTTCTCTTCAGAATTTATGCTCTGATAACCATGCAATGTCTCCTCCTGTTCTTCCTTTGTCATGCCACAAATTTGATGAGATAAATAATGAGCATAAGGCAGGGATGTATAAACTATCAACAGTATCAGATGATAATAAAATGGGTTTATCTCGTGAGGTATGTGTAGAAAATCCTGGCGAATCTACATTGGAAGAAAATGACACATCAAATTATCAATTGGCCAATGATACTAGATGTAATGACCAAAATGCTGTCAATGACCATTCTCTTAAGGATTCCATAACAGAAGAACAGAATAAATGTCTCAATTCGCCCATTGCAAGTACCAATGAGCAAACAGCCTGCAAAAAATTGCCAACAAATAAGAGCCCAGCAGCACCTGATTGCAATTTGACAAAATTGAAGGTTTGCAATAAAAGGACTGTTAAAAAAAGGAGAACTTCCCACCAAGTTTTCTCTGATTCTATTAGTAAAGAAGAGATGTCATCCGTCCGAAAGCCAACATGGGTTCGTAAAGGAGGTTGGAAATGTGAAGTTTGCCAGAAAGATTTTGGAGCAAAGGGTTTTCTGGAGCGTCACTGTATCAAAAGTCATGGGGCTCCTGCCAAATATAACTGCCCATACTGCGGGAAAATTTTTATTGACTATCGCAGTCTTAGAACCCATCACAAAGCTAAACACAATAGAAAAAAATGGTTATTTGAGGACAAGAATGTTGATAAATCTTCTCTTCATCAGTTGCCCAAACACATTGAGAAAGTTTCTGGTTCTGATATGTCTGATGATCAAACCATTCTGAAAAAGTGCACACTCTGTGATAAAGGTTTCAGAAGAAATATTGATCTAAGAAGGCATAAAAATAGATACCACAGCAATCGCACTGCAGTTAAGTGCCCTATTTGTACTCTTCAATTTGAAACTAAAAATGATCTAGCTTTTCATCATTCTGAAATTCATGAAAAAGAAGCAGTCACGGCCGTTGTTTTGCAACCAATGAACCAGTGCCACTCTTCTAATAGTTTGGATGCTCGGCCGGGACCAGAATCTAGTCCATCCTCAGCTCTTCAAGATATTGAAAAATCTTCATCTACCTCAAAAGAAGATAGTCAAAATCTACAGTCAGAGAAGAACTCTTCTGCAGGCGAGAACAAAGGGGAATTCCAGTGTGCTGATTGTCCTTTAGCTTACAAGAAATATTCATGTTTGAAACGACACCGAATTCTAATGCATGCTGAGCCAGCAAGCTATTACTGTACCATTTGTGGCAAAGGATTCTCTTATCCTCATTCCTTAAAAAATCATGTCATGACTCATTCCCGTGGTGAGTTAAACTCAAAGAGATCTGACAGAGCCAGTAAAGGGACATGGAGAAAAAGGATATCAAGTGAGGAGAAATCAAATGCTCAGTCTGAAGAAACCTGTGATAACTCAGAAAGTCTTGATGATTCCCCAGGTGATGGACTTCACAAGCCTCAACTTCTCATTAAACCAAAATCCCCCATGTCTCCTCTTAAGAGTGCAGAAACAAATGCTCTTTTTAAAACACTCGAAGAACCCCTCAGTGCTGCGGAAAATGGTGTATCCACTCTAACTCAAGAAAATGGAGTTCGTTGCATTAATTATAATGACCCGGAAATGAAGTCAAATGAAAATGAGACTTTTGTTCCTAGAAGTGACAAGGAAGCCTGTAGTATTGACTATTCTAATGCTCCATCTCATTCTGAATTCAGAGAAGAACCAAGTGATCAAAATAGTCATGCTACTATGTCTACAACTGACCTAAATGTTCCTCCGGCATATCCTCCTTGGAATGGAATCAGTGACAATGCTTTTTCTACCTCTGGTTTTTCAATTAATGACAACCACTGGACACCTCCATTCCAAACTACTGAAGCGCTCAACACCTGTTCTATTTGTGGTCTATGCCTGCCTTCTTGGTACAGTCTTCAAGAACATTACTACATTGCTCACCCCAATCCGAATTTCTATGCTCCCCCCAATCCAAATTTCTACGCTCCCCCCAACCCAAATTTTTATGCTCCCCCTGTGACATATCAGACTTATCCTCAAGAATATGCAACATACAACAATTATAGTGCTTTTTACGGTGGCTCTTTCCCAATCAGCCGTTCTTCTCCACCAGACAATGGATCCTCCACCTCTTTTCAAGAACTTACAAGTCATAGTGTTGCTCATTGCTCAGTCTGCGGTTTGTGTTTTCCTAATCTGTTAGCCCTTCAAGAGCATTATGCTTCACATATGGTATCTTTACCCGCTGGTAATCCTGTACTTCAGAATTCAGCATTCTTTTAGAGTTATTTCTGTACTTGTTGTGATAATCTGTGTTCATCTTAGCCTCTCCAGATTTTGAGGCATTGTAAATAATGGAGCAGAGATTGAACTGATTTGGTCACTTAATGGTGCGTAACAACACCAATTTTGACCTGACTAAATGTGATATGAATTTTGTATTATATACTGTAGAATTCTTTTTGTTATGATGTTATACTGTATTGTGGCAGTTTAAGATCTTATTTTTCTTTTCAATCTGATCAATAACCGTTAAGAACTTTTGACATTTTTTAAGGAAAAAGAGCTTGATGAGGCCGAACTGATTTCTAGTCTTTATCAATAGAGATTCCCCTCTCTTTTACTGACCCCTCTTTTGTTTCTTTAGTTTGCTGTAAGAAAGAGAGAATTAATATAATTTTTCCATATTTCATGTACTGCATAGGAATAGCATGATTGTTTCTCTTTTATTGTTTTACTACAGTGATTTTTTCCATTAAATTTACAACATTGTCATTATTGCCATGTGTATGCTTTTCCCTAGGTTTGTCATGAGACTGAAGAAAACTGTCACCTCTGCATTTGATTTCTAACTTTTATTTTCTTCTCTGTGACCTCCTAATATATTCAACAAACATTCGGTTTTATTGTGAATGTCAGGGTGTAGTTTAGACATAAGGACGCATTGTGAACTCCACATTAAATAAAATTGTTTCCCCATATGTCCTTTTTTTTTATGAAGTTTATTGTTTGACCCCTACAGAGCTCTTGGCTCTTTAGTAATTTTCATATAGGTTTTATCAAGATAAGGCAAATGCTGACGATCAGCACGACAGCAAGTCAGCATCAGCATCAACAAAAGATGATCTCCAGAACTGTGATTGGGCACCTTCGTGCACAAATGGCCAATCACAGTTCTGGAGATCATCTTTTGTTGCTGCTGATGCTGACTTGCTGTCGTGCTGATCGTCAGCATTTGCCTTATCTTGATAGAACCATAGTTTTCACCTTCCTTATGTCATGATTGTATTTGAATTTCCTCTTAGACGAACTGTTACTAAATGCTTAAGTTTATTTTACTGTTTAACAGAAGTATACACTTACTTTACAGATAAAAAATACAATACAATAATAATAACAGTTGTTATAATAAAATAATTATGACACATTGGCCTCTCTGATTGGCTCATATTGACACATATACTGTATATATAAAACTGAATATGGTACAAAACATAAGTAAACGGTAGAAGAGTTCATCTGTAAAACTAAACAAATCATGAATGTAATCACAGTTTTGCTACCATAAAAATACAATTTTTAACAAATTAAACATCTATTAAATGGCCAACTATATTATGAGTGTATGCAGTCTATTTCTTAAGAAGAACTTCTTATAAAATTTATTCTTACAAAACCTTCTGCAAACAGCATAAAATACATTAAGTCCTTGATAAAAAAACAACAGTAGCATGAAATAAAAAAGATAAGCAATGTACGTGTGAAGACAAAAAGATGAGCTCATCTTCAGAATAGATAATAAAGTCTATCTGACATAAGTACCCTACAATACTCTTTAACAGTTCCTAGAATATGGCACACTTGAACAAATACAAACTCTGATACTGTGAACAAACAAGCCTATACTAATAAAAATACATAAAAAGTATAGTCTCACTGTTGATCTTGAAATCTTGAAGACACATTCTTTGATAATACTTTATAAGATACATTCTTTGAAAAATATAAATGCAATCTAGCATTGGTTATTTACAAATTTGTAAAAATAAAATTTGATTAAGAGTACAAAGCAACTCATCAAAGCCGGGCTGCGTTTTCCCATCACCTTAAAATTCTTCAACAAGAAATAGCTTTCATTCACATAAACAAAATTATCATGACTAGCACACCCTCAAACTAGACCACAAACATACATACTTGAGATGAAAATTAATATCACTGGCAGAATTATATTGGTTCAACGTTATTGGAAGCATAGGACATAATAAAAGTTGGCCCAAAATGAACTGGTAGGTAGTTTACATTGTCGTAAGGTTAAAGAATTTTGGAGTTTTATTGGCTCCTTTTATACCACCACCCTCCCAAATAGCAACCACTCCATCTGAGGATGATGCATACAAATGCTGGGAATCAAGAGAGTATGTCAAGCTGTTGAAGAAAAATGAGAAAAGTTTTAGTTTACATCTTTGCATCAGAACAAAATTAAGATAGACCACAAACCACAAACCTGATGATTGGGAATGTTAAGGCAGGAGAAATAATTTCCCTCACAGGTGTCAGGTTCCATGAACTCCACAATCTTCCACAAAGAAACAAACAAAACGGATGGTAAGAGATAGCTACCTAAATTCAACAGGAAAATTAGATAGATAAAAATTCTTACCGGATGGTACCATTGAAAAGGCCAGCAGCAACAACATTGACAGCAAGACCCTCAGAAGCAGTAGAAAAACAGACGGCTGTAATCTGTTCTGGGATATCTATTCTTCCAATGAATACAGTATTCACTGTGTGCAAAGTAAGAGATGATCCCTTAACAGACTGTGATTGTAGAAAACCTTGAATCTTCTTTCCTTGAAGAGATGGTTCACTTCCTCTCTTAGATCCTCGATTACCAAATTTTGGCAGACCCTTCAAAGACCATGAGTAAGAATGCACATTTTTTGTAAGTTGTGCTTCCTTGGCCGTTTCTGCTTCATTTAAAACTTCCCAGTCATCAGGAACTCCTGGTGAAGGTGAGTCTGTGTCAGAGGTAACATCTTCTCTAACATCAACTGCAGACAGATTTTTTTTGACTTCCCAAGGGTTGTAGGAATGGTCTTGATTATCAGGTGTATCAGTATAAGAGGATGCATGACACACTGTTGCAATATCACCCAAGGTTTCACTCACACTAACTAAACTCACAGGGTATCCAAGCTGAATGCTTCTCACATAAGATAAACTGGAAAGAAAACAATGGCATATGAGTTTTAAACAGCAAAATAAGCACATGAGACAATTTTTTAAAACAAAGTTGTGTACCTGTTCAGATCCCAAATAATTACAGTATGATCTTGACTGGCGCTTACTGCAATGCTGAAACTTCGACTTAAATGGATCTTAAGTATAGCACTTGTGTGACCGAGGAGAGTAATAGGATCTGTATTAAAATCCAGTTGACCACGTACAGCTTCAAAGTTATAACGATAAACAACCAAGCGGCCAGAAAAATGGCCCATCCACAGCTGATGGCAGTCTGGCACACTTGCACAAACACAAATCTATGGCAAACAGTTTTTGTTCAGTTAGGTACAGGATGACTCATGTAGGTACCATCTAAAGACCACCATAGTACTTACTGGATCAAGTTCTGGTGCCCTTACAACAGGCCAGGGAGGAAGCTCCTTTTTCAGCTTAACTCTAACTATAGAATCTGCATGACCCCACGTGGCAAGAGCCACATTTTGAACAACAGAACTATTAACTAGACTTAAAGCTGAAAAAAAACAAAAAACAAGAAAACAGCTGAGTTAATGGTAAATATTAAAATAACAGAGAACACTGTCATTAGATAACAAACCTTTCTCTTTAAAGTAGCACAACAAAATGGAAGTATGAGGACCTAATCCAAAAGCATCATTGGAGTGCAGAGGAACAAGATCTGCAACCAGGGTGTGATGCTGATGTTTTGCCACTAGCACTGGTTCAGGATCTGCAGGTGAGCCCACAAAACTACCCCAAGTTAAGCCTTGCACAGTGGGAAGCACCGGAGGCTAAGGAAACAAAAGGGGAATTTCCATAATTAATCTAAGAAAACTGAAATAATAACAATAAATAACAAAATTCCAATATCAGAAATGAGGCTCACCACAGAGTAGTTAACAGCTTTTACAGTCAGAGATTGTTGAGCCATGGGATGGAGTGACCGGAACAACTGGCGAGGCATTTGTCCATATGTTCTCACCATAGTTTCTCGAGCAATTCTTTCCAAAGGATCCTTTATACTTGAAACGTCAAAACCACAGTATGTCTAAGGAAAAAAATTGCAAGAAAATTACAAGTTGCAGGGGGTTTTCTTGAAAAGAAAGCTCAATATTCCCTTTACTCAACAGTGTAATGAACCTACAGCTGGATGAAAGACATTGATGGAATCCACAGCAGCTTTACCGGATTGTTTGTAACCAAATACAAGGTCAATCCAATGAGGAAGGTTTTCTCTTACATAAGCTGATTCTAAAGCCTGACGATGAATCAACACAAACAAGCGTGGATCATTCAAACTCCACGGTGGTAACTGCACTGAATCAACCCGCTCTCCACTTTGTCGTACACCAAAATCAAACCCTGGGAAAACAAAATTAATATATCAGAGTTGTTTTGTTAATTAAGTCTTAAGGTTGATTGTGCAAGCAGCCAATTCTAGAAAACTTCAATCCTTCTCTAACTGATTTTATTTTTTGGACATTACACTATACCTTCATGGTTAATCAAAAACTCTGGCAGAAAAAAGAATTCTGGTATCATTTCTTTGACATCTGTTGTTGAATCCGAACTTGTAAGACGCCAGGTTGTGTGTAATGAATGAAATGTACGATCAGGTAGATCAAAATTGTCATCTAGGGGGCAGAAAAGTTCAGAATATTTTTAATGCAACAATTGAATCGCATTTTCAAACCAGCTGACCCACACACAAAAATTACCTTGGTAGTGCAGAAACATTCCAGTAAAAGGTGGCATTCGCACGAGAAAGTGAAGAACAATACCAGAGTTGGAATAATGGGAACCATAGTGGTATGGTTCATGGCGACCAGCTACACCCAAACCTTCAGAGAGCTCTTGTTTCACATACTAAGAGAGGAAAAACCAATGAGAAAAGGAAGAATCAATCAAAGTCACTAGAAAATGGAAACTGCATTTCCATATAGATTAGTAAAACATCTTACATTGTATGTATCAATGTAGTGCTGCTCATTACATTTATTTTGAATTGCCATTGGTTTTTTGAAATTACGGAAAGACTTAGAATCATTTAAATCCAGAGTAACTGACGTATAGTCAGCAAGGACAAATGGAAATACAGGATATTGCATCAAATCATTATAGGACCTTCCAGCCATCTTGTTGAGTTGAGTCAGATACTCCCAGTTACTGATTGTTCCCTCTCTCCACATTTCTACAACATCAGAAAGATTGTCGCCATGCATTTGATTCACAAGCTCACACTGAGAGAGCTGCTGTAAAAATGCATCTCTTTCCTAGAAAAGAAAATATTAATTGAAATAACTGGGTTAATAAAATATCAAATATTCTACACAGAATATTTGTATTTTTTTTAAAAAAGCAGAGGTGTCAGTTTGAAAATACCTCAGCTGATTGAAATGCTACTAGGTAAGTTCTACCATTCAGAAGGAAAATTTCAAGTGCTCTTTCCTGAAGCTGATAGCGGCGGTTGATTATTTCCTTTACATTTTCAAACGACCATGCTGTTGAAGACATGTCTAGACGCCCAGCTTCAACCTGCAACAAAATATCAGGATGCAATTTGTAATAAGCTACTAATCAGGATGAAAATTGCATTACTGCACACAGTATTTTCTTCGTTCATCCTCACCCTTCAAACTCACCTCGCACAGATCTGTAGCAATAGAATCATCAGCGACAAAATAAAGACAGCTCTCCCCAATCAAGAGCTCACCAGAAATTTCACAAGCTGGAGTGATGATATGAGCAGTGCACATGTACTGGATTGTTTCATTAGTGTGAAGCCTATCAATCATGACAGATGATGTAGAGGAAGAATTACTGGATCTAACTTGGTTTGGATCCTTCTCAAACAAATACTGGAGAGGTGCTGGCCTTTTCAAATGCTCTACATTTAAAAAAAAAAAGTCACATCTTTCATTTCAATATTTATGAAGAGATGTTTATTCTCTCTGAGGGTATACTTAAAATGTTCACATACCAAGTTTTTCCTGCTGATCAGGCAATAAGAATTTCTCTTTGATATGGAGATGGCATCGTTGAAGTCTTTTTCTAGTGCGAGCTGGCCCTTCTGTTGCATCTAATTGCCAAGACCTAGAAACTCAAACAGTTATAAAAATCCTCCAAGTCACAAGAAAAATATTTAAAAAAAGAAAGAAAAGGAAGAAAGTAAACTTACATAGGGTAAGATTCTGGGAAGAACCAAACAGCTCTTTCATGCGTGAGTAATTGAATCAGATGCAGCCATTTCATTCTCAACTGTACATTTTCATTTAGTGTACTTTTAATGTGTTCCATAAATACTTTTCTCTCACTGTTCTGTGCCTCCACAACACTCCTTGTGGCTGTCATGGCACCATCAACCAGAGTACGATGCAGATGTTCCATTTTGTGCACGCTTCTAAATCCATTAAAAAAAATTATTACAGGTCTTCTGACTGAATGAACTATATTCTATATTTCAGAAGTGCTAAACACAAGTGGGCATACTTCTCTATAGCGTCTCGGTTATGAGTTACATAAGCAGCCATTTGACGCTCAGCTTCCCGTAGTAGTAAAGTAACTTCTCCTTCCCAATTGTCATGGGCATGGCCAATAGCATGTGGTGAAAGGACACCCCATCTCTGTAGTTGTTCTTTGAGCTCTTCACATGCACGTATATCTGCTGAGGGCAATTGATGCGATTCTTGTCCATACATTAAAGCCCATAGCCAAACTGTGAATTTTTGTTCAACCTGGAAGTAAATGCAGTTATTTTGCACTTCTTTCTGGATATAATTATAAATTATTTGAGCACTTAAAACCAACAAACACCTGTGTATGGGTGTGAAGCATTGAGGTGACAAGTTCCTTCATTCGAGGCTCTGACCTCAATGAATGTATAGTGAACATTCTCATCTTCAGGGATTGCCATGGGGACAAGAGCCACACAAACAGCTGGGCACTTCTCACTCTGTAAGAATTATTATGAAATTAGATAGTTGACGTTATACTTCATATTAGAAATCTAAAAGTATACCTTAATGTGTCCCTTGCAGCCCACATGGCTCCATTCCATAAGGACTTGCTGTCCACACTTCGACGATCAACTACGCTACAGAGCCCTTCCAGAAGGGTAGCAAAGAGACGCGTAGCAAATGTTTGCTCTACTTCAGTAGCAACTGACACATCATGTGGTTCTGAAACACACCGAAACAAGGATCTGTAAGCCAGAAAATTTAACTGGGATAAAAAGAGAGTTTAAGGTCACAAATTTAATTATTTTTACAAACCAGAATATGTGAAGTATTCAACTGCTTTGACTACAACTGTCTTGAATCGTTCAAACAGTTCTGATCTTGATATATCTTTAGGTACTTTAGATCGCAACAAGCTTCCACTGTGGGAGCTGAAGGAACTATGATGTGAAAGTGACAATGACATCACAGGAACACGCACGTGCCCAGAATCTAAAGCCCTGGACCAACCAATTTTATCATCATAGCTGGCGGAGAGAAGAGATTTTCCCTTCATTTGAGAATGTTGCGATGATAGCTTTTCAATTAGTATACTCAGAATTCCATCGAGTATTGTACAATGTGTATCGCGAAGCACTGATACACAACGAGATTCTTTCCCACAGCTATTAGACTCTAATTGATGAAGGAATGTCAACTGGTGTTGGATATCATTAAGCACCTAGGGGAGCAAATTTCAAGGTTTAATTTACACTAAATATCTTCCTTTTTCAGTAACACTTTGGAATAATCACCTGCATGCTTTGACTTCCAGGTACGCTCAAGATATGCCCCATGATAGATAAGAGAAAAACATTTATGTCGGAGATTATTAGGTCTTGTGTGCAACTGCCAGCAATATCAGTGGGTTCTGGTGGTTGATGAGATACTAGCACTAGTAGCTTGAGTAGAACTTCCAAAAGACCTGCTTCCATCAAAGGTCGGAAAGCTCCTTTCACCTGTAGGAGAACCTCTTTGATGAAAGCTAGTGTGTTGTGTGTTAAAGCAACGTCATGGATAGCACGAGGTAGTAGACCAAGCAGAGGTGGGAAGGCAGACAACTGCAATGGAGACATGGAGAGCTGATCCAAATCCAACTGCTCTGTAAATGAGACTTTGGAAGAAAACAAAATTAGACAAACAATATCCCCATCATAATCATGATAGAATTAAAAATACTGTAACAGACCTAATAGTTCCTCAATGCTGGTATCACCACGCTGAGTCACAAGGGTAGCACAGCTCTCAACAAGATCTGCGGTGGCTGGGTACAGTCCAAGTTGGCTGGCAAGCTGATAAAATCCTTTAATCTTCACGAACTTGTTCAGTTCTTCTTCTGTGGCCCTTTGAAGGAAAGCCCCTAAAACCTGCACAATACACCAATATAAAAATTATAATACTACATTTTAGGTAATGGAGTCCTCCTTTAGATTACACATAGAATGAATCAGACCTTCACAACAGCAGACCTTACACGGGAGTCACTATTGTTCGTCATGACTAATAATGTTTCAGCTTGAACAACATGGTTTAAAACCTGAGAAGCCATATTATCAGGTAAGACAAGTAAAGTGTCTCGAAGTAGTAAAAGAAGCCCTTCCACTACAAGGCAAAGAGAATTGTTGCTACTGATTGGTTCACTATTAATTTGTGTTGTTTGCTCATGAATTTTCTTTGAATTTGGTGCCATAGTAGGCCATTCCAAAACATACTGCTTTTCTTTCTGCAAGATCAAGGTGTGAAACAGTATACTTCATAAAATATCCCATACAAAATACTTAAGAATTACACTTACTGAATTCATTTCTGTGGCAAATTTCTCCAAATTGCTTTCAAGATTTTCACATAGTTTACCTCCCTCAGCTTGCATCATAAGTAAATCAGCTCTGTCTAAGATATTAGGTTGATTAACAACTCCTTTCTCTTCCAAAGGACATTCTCTCACATCTGCGTCACTACTCCCTGTCTGATCACGGAAACTGCCAGCTATACCAGAGTCAAATGCGGTTTGCTCCCCACATCCTTCAGCAGGTTCCACATCCAAATCTGAAGCATTAGCTTCACTTCCCTCTTCAACTCGATTGCTGTCAAGCACTTCTCCAGAATTATTTTGACTTTCTGATGTTGTATTGTACCTATGTCTCCCAATTTGCACTTCATCAGTATGTCGTTTAATCTGTAAATTAGACTTTACTGTGAGCAGAGAAAATATACAGCATCTAAGTTGCAATAATAATAGTAATGTTACCTGAAGGTTTGCTAGGGCTTTATTTAATTTAGAGGGGTCTACAGGTTGAGCAAAATCTGCAGGATGGTCTTTTCTTAGTGGCTGAGAAACTTTCTTTCTATTATAGTTTTGACTTTTTTTTCGTTTTTCATTATGTTCAAATACTCCTAGGATAAAAGAAGACAATCTTATTAATCAAAAGGTATTTATATTAAAAGAAGGTTTTTGGTACTATACTTTTACTGTTACACAAACCTGAACGGCCGGTATTCCTTGGTTGTGGCACAGGTGAAGCTGATGGGGGTGATGGGGACAGAAGAAAGTAATAGCTGGGTCTGACATGTGTGATGTAGGTGGCACTCGCAGGGTGCAACAACAGCAGACAATCAGCAACAGCCAAAACATGAGAAAATTCTGGAGGAGCTCCCATCAGAGAGCGAACAAGTTCAACAAGAGAACAGCACACTGATGGATGAAGAGGTTGCCACTCTTCATACAAAAATCGTTCCTGAATTGAAAATTAGGTTTTTATCAAAACTAGAAGCTGAGGTGATAGATGATCTAGACTTCCTACACATACCTTGCAAAATAGAAGTAAACCTTCGACAAGTCTCACTCTGTTAAATTGTGAGGCGTTAAATTCTCTGAACGGATGATCATCTCGAAGTAAGACATGAAGGGCACGGAAAAGAGTTCCCAACACGCCACCATCTTCTCCCGCTACACTTACTCTCTCCCAGTCACGCCATGACCCAACTATAGTTGAAAGAAGAAAGGAGTTCACCACAATAGCTTCTGACTGATGTACAACTCTAAATTGGCATTGAGGTCCAGGTTGGTGTTGAAGAATCGGCTTGTCACAGCATGCATCTAATACAGCCTAGACAGATAAATAGATAGATAAGCTTTAAGTGATTTGTTTTTTTCCTTTAAAAGAGAAAAAAGAGAGGGCTTTTAATTTAATAATTTCTCTCTATTAGATTGGTGGGCGGCTAAACCTAGGATTGACCAGACCAAACCTAGCTCTAAACAGCAGGTACTATAATTTCAAGGATTACAGTATAGGCACAATACCTTCAACATGTGATGTCCTGTTAGACAATGCTGAGATGCAAGAACTTTGAGTAGCAGTTTATGACAATCTTCTTGTACAAACTGAGAGAAAAGTGATGTGTCACTTTGTACAAGTTTCAAAAGTAAATATAAGGCTTTACCTTGCTCTATTTCATTTGCTTTCAGTTCTACAACCTGCACAACCCCCCAAAATTATTATTATGATTTTCTTCAAGAATAATTGTGTAAGGACAGAATAGATTAATTTAAGATACATACCCTAGCAAACAAAAATAAAAACACATGAGTCCCTCCCAGAGTAGAAACAGCTGAGACAAGGCCTCTATATTGTTGGGTATTAAGAGGGCCATACTGAGTTGGTTTGATTGGCAAAGGCAATTGCTGACTAGCTCGTTGGTCAGGTGTCACTACTCTGAATCCAGTCTGTCCAGGAAAAAGTGATCCCATGCCAGAAGTTGAACTGGCTACAACTTGAGGGTACACATTCAAAGTCAGCGGATTCTGAGCAGAATATGTAATAAGAAGGTTGTCTTGTAGCTCTTTTAAATTAGCTGCCCCATTGTCAAGGACTGTGTCCCATGCAACACCAGAATTAAGTATCTTCGCCCCAAAAATATTAGTAAAATTAGGGCTGTCCCTCCCAACTTTGCAGTCAGTTAAGCTCGTGTGACTTGGTCCCAAGCCCACCAAATACACTGCACGTTCTCTATTAAAGACAGGACACTTGAAAAGCTGCAAGTTCCCTAAGTACCATGAGCCTAAACCAGGGGCTATGTAGGATGGGGAGATGGCAGAGAGATTACTTGATCCCTGCAAGGCATGGCCTACAAGAAGACAAGTAGGCTTCACCTTACGGAGGACAATACCGCTAAACTGAAGAGGACATTTTACTTCTCTCAAGCCATCAATAATAATTGTAACCTGTAAGAAAGGATGAAGTTACTAGGGAAACAAAAGCATTTTTGACTTAAGATTTGTGGACAGATATCATAGCGATAGAAGTACCTCAACTACACTCTTCTTGCGTTGGACATAGTCATGAACATTAATGGCCATATGATGCCACTGGCCAGGAGGCAGACCACTCTCTGTAAAACCTTCAGCTAGAACCTCATTTATCTTGGTATCACTGCGGCGTAACTTTAAATTTAAACGATCAGTACTGATATCAGCCCACAATTCAAGCAGAAGGTTGTCACTTCCAATTGACACTACATGCAATTGGCCTTTTAATTCTGATGTTGCTGCAGATCGAGAACCTAAGAAAGAAAAGGCAACCTTAGTGTTTTATTTAAACAAAAACGGTACACTGAGAAAAGACAGATGAAGTAGTGATTGTAACTGACCATCTCTCAGCCAACTGGCACTGGACATAACGCCCCACTCTGACCATGAATCTGAAAGACTATCGGAGAGGTGACCACTGTAATTACGATGAAGGCCAGTATGGTGTTCCATACGTGGAGGAATGTTCTCAGGAGCAGCACCCTTTTCCAATCTTAACCACAATGAAATAGAAAACCCACTCAGCCAGGCACACCAACCCAAATCTGTGTCAATGGGCAGTACAAGGGCACATTCCGACCAAGCTGATGGTGTTCCTAGTAAAAGAGCAACAGATCAATAATAACTGTAATGAGTAGTCTATGTCTTAACAATTGATATAACTGCAAGAAATTAATTCATACTTAAGGATATATGCTGCAAGCGAATAGTCTGAGCCAATGTCACTGATGCATTTTGAAACTTTGACAATTCATTGGGAGCTTTTGAAATCTCTGGGGTCGAATTGTTTCTCCCATTTCCACTTACATTAGCTGCAAGACTGAACAAGCCACTCGTTTTTCTCTGTGGAGACTCACTGGAAGATTTTTCAGATAGATCACAGTCAGCTGAAAGCTGACCAGGCAAAGAACTGGCCAACACAGGAAAACACAAAATGAAATTTGGTTGAGGTCTTGCGCTTGTAACCAATGTTGTCAATGGCTGAAGTAAAGACTCCTACAAGTAAAATAGACACAAAGAGATATGATAATAAACGGATGACTTGCAGATATGGTTGTATGTTCCAACATCGAATTTTAGGGGTAGTGGTAGTACTTACTAACGGAGGATTATTAGTTTTAAAGAAATTCAGGTACTTTGAAAGTTCTTGAGAAGTGATACTGTGCTGTGCTAGCAATGAAACTAGTTCCAACACTACTGATTGAAGTTCTAGACAACAAAAAATAAAAATACAACACAGTGTATGACTATGATAAAATATGATAAAATCAATTAGTAATTGTAAATCCACCAACCAGTTAGTTCAGGATCAGCGACTGACAATGCATAAGAAAAACCAGTGAGTAAAGTGTCTATGACACCCTCTTGAGAAAGAACCATACAATTACGCCCACTTTCCCTACAGAGAGCAACAATGCGTTGAACGACATGGACCTAAACATATAGAAGAATCATGGTGAACTGATATCTATAAGATTGGAAAGTAACAAATGACCAAAATATTAATTTAAATTACTTACCATATCCGACTGAAGTTGTGATTTTAAAGTCTTGCTGTTGTCTTTGAGCCTGTTATTCAAATATTGAGGTTTGGAATTTTCAGAATTTTTACTATCCTGCTCATTGAGAGTTGATTCATTAGGAGTTCTTTCTCTTGAACCAGTTTCAGAAGACATCATCTGAATTCTAAAGAAGAATATTTTTGAAATACATTTCTTTATAAATATTATCATAAAAAATAAGAGGGAAACTAGTACACACTCTTCATGTAGAAACACCAGTAGATTTAATGCCAATGAGCATAGCTTTGGGTGGGCAATTACATTAATAAACTTCTTCTCTGATACACAACTGCCCTTTGCAGTATCTCCAGACCCAACAAAATTCTGTTGAAATCCTAAACTTCCTGAGGTACTTGAGTCATAAGCAACTGACATCCTAGGAAAAATAGTTATGATTTTATTATAGCAACAAAGCAAAAACCTCTACAAGAACAAATGAGAAAATTACAATAGCAAGAATATTGTGCATAATGAACTCACCCATTTGATTTATTCTCTAATATTTCTATGTCAGCCTCATAACCTTCATCTGCAGTAACATATGGATCTTCTACTGAACTACCTTCCTCACTCACAACAATACGATCAGTACTGGGTGATAAGCTTTTTTCAGCTGAATCTTGTCGATTATTGTCATCATCTTCATTAGAATCATCTATGTCATCAGTCTCTTCAGGGAGCACTTCTGGAACCATAATTGTAGGCAGCTGGGGCAAAGAATAATCAGGTAAAATACAGAGACTCAACTTGACTGAGACCATAAATTGCAACATGTTGCATGCAAATCCATGCAACAAACCTTAGCTTTTCGCAGAGCAGGCAATATTTGTTCAGAGCTTGCTTCAGATAAAGCACAGCGAATGAGAACATCACAAAGACGACGCAAACTACCAGCATTGCTAGGGCTTCTTTCACAAAGTATCAAAACATCTGATCGGCACAAAGTGTTGCTCAAGTTGCTAATTAGCTTTTCTCGAGATGTTGGTAAACCTGATACCAAATAATTAATATAGTGATTGAAAATATATAATAAGGTAGTTCAATAGAGAGATGAGTTTCTTACCAGTTTGTAGATTAACTGGTGGGGCAGTAAGGTGAAGAACTAGTATTGACTCGATGAGGCGCATGTACAAAAAGCTTTTGGTGTCTCTATTGGAAGTTTGTTGCTTCCAGCTAGAGCAAACAACAACTTTTTTCAGTGTTGCTTTTAAGAGAACAAAACCTAACTGACCCATGGAATGGGATGCAAAAAACGGCCGAAGTTGTGGACTACAGAGAGCTAAGTTTGCAACTGTTTGCCAGAATACAACTACATGCTGAAGTAACTTAAGTAGTGCTCTTCGACTGGAACTTAACATGCCCTCTACACTCACATCTTCATTCTCCATTTTGTCTAAAAGATCATTTGAATACATTTCCAGGTACTCAATAAGCTTCACTAATGATGTAAGCTGATGTAACTTTTGTAAGGATATGGGGACCATTGGCACTGAAGGTAAATGTTTTGTTTCAGCCCGTTTGATCTTCTCACTTTGCACCAACTTGTCTATTTCTAAGATGTCCACAACAATTACTATCTCCAGCACAGAACAACACATTTTTAAAAATGTGGGTATACTCATTAGATCTAAGATATGTTGCAACCCTCCAAGAGACAGGAATGTTTCAGCAAGTGTCAATGATGACATTAGGCAAGAAAATGCAGACATGCATGACAAAACAATAAATTTGAAAACATCTTTCTTACTGCTAAGGTACGCTTTTTTAGCCTGAATGAAACTAGGGTAAAACACATTTGACAATAGAGCTATCTGAACTTTCTCATTGCAACGAGGAGACAGTTTTAAAAGATGAGATGCTGCAGTATGGCACAATTTTGGGTCCTCTGAGGAGAGTAGGTCACGATAAAAATCAAGACAACTCCAATTGCATTGCTTTGCCTCTGAACTCTCTGATCTATCACTTAGTGCTGACAAAGATAAGCACTTTTCAGCATTGCTTTTATAAGAATCTTTTCCAAGTGGATCCTCAACTCTGCCTAGTCCTTGGCTGCTGTCATCTTGACTATCGTCTAGGATAGAAGGTACTCCTGAGAGAGATTCCATACTCCTATTACAGACAGAGCAACGAAAGTACTCTCTCACAGGTTTCAGTGGGGAACTTTCAATAGCACCCAGTTCTGTAAAAACAGTATTCTCCAAGAGTGTGAAGCCAAGAGCTCTTGCTTTAGCATTCCCAGTTTTCAATATTTTGGTCAAACAGCTCAGAAGTGCTTTGGCTGGGTAACAACAGCATGTACCACATTCAAGCATCACCTGGATACAAATTACCATTATCAAAAATTTAGTTGATCTGGAACAGTACCACCAAAGGGGCTGTAATGGTAAATAAGTAACTTACCTTCATGAGAGACACACTAAAATCAGACAAATGGCTGTTGTTGTTCAGAATACGAACTAATGCTGCAAATAAATATGCAACATTGCAAACACTACTGTGTTGCCCCATACCACTCATACTTCCATATGGATTTCCAAAAAGGTCATTGTGATGATGTCGACGGACATCAACAGCCTTGCAATGCTTATGCCTTGTTTTCCTACATTGCAGTGAATGAACAATGGTACTTCTTGCCTGTTTGATACTCAAAATCAATTGAACAACCAGGCAAACAACCTACAGGATAGATAATTTTTGAATTGAAAATAACTGTCTTATTTTTTTTTTTACTCCAAACAGGCTTTTTTGCATGATACTAAATAAGACAGAAACATACCTTACGCCCCCTGCTGACTGAACTTTTAGTAACTTGTGTGTTGCAATTAACAAGGGCCATCACAGTTTCTTCAAGAAGTCTTCCACCATAGCTACTTGCAAAGAGGCGAAATTGTTCTTCAAACTCATGAATTCTTTCTGTACTGGAGCGATGAAGAAGAAGACAGTGAAGAAAAGTGACAGCACCATAAAGGATGCCCATCACAAATTCTTGCAAGCCACAGATTTCATTTGAGATCTCTACTTCGGACGACTTTGACTTTTTTTGAGAAGGTTTTGTTTGAGCTTGCTGTAATTTTGATACATTGCTGCCTATTTTATAAAGAGATTCTGCTCTTCGAACAGCGTCTTCCAGCACTCTCAACATTACTGGAAGCACGCCTGCATTGATAAGCTGGTTTATTATCTCGGACTGCATTAATACTTTATCAAGAGCTGTTAGTAACAACTGTGTCATTGCCAGTTTCAGCTCTGTCACCTGAAATATGGAATAGATTATGTTTTGACTCTTTCCATGGATAGATAAATCAAACAATGTGTATGAAGGCAAAAGTTTACCTCAGTGGCTATGAGTGCATCAATGGGTGTGGAGCCAAATTGCAATGAACAAAGATTCTCTAGAGCAAAATTAACTGACTGAAGAGAAACTTGCTGTGTAGAGATTAACAATTCGGCTCTACACAATTCTTCAAGCAAATGGACAACCAAGAGGCTAAATTCAGCACAATTAATGGATTGTGAACAAACTTGGCGCATATGATCATCGGTTAGGTCTTCTGCAGTAACCTTGTTGGTGGTGCGGCGAGTCTAGAAACGATACATGGGCAATATTAACAATAAAAAAGGAAAGAGGATGGCATTTATGAGTTGAGGATCTTACAAATCTCCAAAATGGTTGGTCCCCATTAGATTCATCTTCACTGCGAACCACTGACTCAAAGTAGTCAAAATCCATTGGATCTAACCGAATTTTAAGGGTGTTTGATTTGTTAAGCAGCACTTCAGATGCATCTTGAGGTGCTTCTGACTCACTGGTAACATTTTGAATGCCACTACCTCCTGCTTGTGGACTCTCTGGATCAAATGTACCTGCTAACAAAACAAAATAATCAGAAAAATACTAAAAGTGAGGACTTCACATTGAGAAACAATAAATAGCAACATAAATCCACTTACGGGAACGTCTTCGTTGTTTGGAGAGTGAGGAGCTGCTGTAACTTTTCATCTGGTCACCACGAAATTGTTGAGTCCCACCTCCACCAGTGGATCCTGGTCGAGATGAGACAGACCACTTACGGTAATGGACCCCATCACTGGGAGAGAATTTGAGTAACCCTGGTAAGGAGTAACCACGTGGCCCATGACTAAATGTTCCTAAAGAACCTGTGCTTCCCTGTTGGTCCCATTTACTCCAGCATCCTGAGAATGATATGTATGGGTTTCTTTGAGAGCCGTCATGACTTAAAGGAGGTCTGGAGGCAGCAGCTGAAGTGCTTGTTTTGTTACTTTGTGATTGGGGTTGTAAGCACACAGGATAAAGTGATATCAAAAGTGTTGCCAGTTCTGTCCCACAACTTACGTCCTAAAAGAAAAGCAGGAAGGCAAGTTAATAAATTTGATCCTACAAATCTATCAATAGAGTAATTACCTAAAGCTGTCAACACACCTGGACTCCCAAATAATGCAGCACAGCCAAAGTTCGCCATCCTCTCCCAAATAGGAAATGACGGCGCAATGGTGATAAATCTTCCCCATCACCTGGTTGTGAACATATCTGATGTACATCAGACAAAAGTTCACAACCAATAAGTGTAGCCACTCCAGCTAAAGGTCTAAAAAAAATATAAAATAGGAGTAAAATTAGTTCTCTTAAATTTATTTAAAAATAGATTTCAACTATTTAATTTTTTTGAAATAGAAAACAAAAGGGAGAGGTTGAGGGTAGGGGTGTAAAAAGGCACAAAATGTACAAAAATATAAGAGGATTTTCAAAAGAAAAAAAACTTACGTAAATGGCAAAATATCTTTAATAGCAAGACCATCCTTGAATTCAACTAAAAATTGGGTCAAAAACCCATCAAACCATGTGGATCGCTGCACAAAAATATGCACAAAATTGATTAATGTGATGTGTGATCAAAGGTTTACTAAATTTAGTCCCTTGTTACATGACGACAAAGGTTTCCTTACTTCATAAGATGCACATTCTGCCTGAAGAAATTTCTCCCACAAGACTTGAATTTTGCTGGGAAATTGTTGAGACATCTTTACTCATTTATGAAACAGAGTATATCGTAAAATTACATTGTTTTCTATCATATTGGAACATCTGTGAAATAAATTTAAGAGCCAATATTTCAGTTGAGAGCAAATATACAAAACACACGCACAACAAAATACAATTGAATTCAATCAAAACTGGAAGTTTTGGGATTTAAACAAGAAGCAATCAATCACTGACAACGCCTTGGAACAGGCTAGATGAAAACAGTAGAAGAGTAACTTCAAAAATAAATTATCAAAAGCAGACCTAACTAAGATGGGCATTCAAATCTTGACGTACAGGATAACAGTGAACATGACATTATTAAACAAAATACCAACCTTCAAAATTTACTTCCTAAATTGATTAATGTTTATCAAAAGAGAGCAATGAAACTCTGAAGCATTACATAACCTGTGCTCTACTCTCCCCAATTCACGGAAACCGATGAAGGAATACTAAACACTATAGTCACACATTACCCACTAGCAGTAAAGGGATCTCATGTCACGAATGCTACCAGACGTTAGCTTGACACAAGACAGCAAACTTACCAAAATCCGGGCAACGATGTAGTTATGTAATTGCTCTCAATAACAAATGCACATCCTACCCGGAATACGTCGGTGCTCGAAGACTGACAGTCGAGGAGGTAAACATCGTGGTCATGTGACATAAACACAACATCGGTGCACGATAGAGAGCGCCACTGACGAATAAGTGTCACTAGATTTATCTCTTTCTTTTAAAGATCAGAGGAAAAAAAACCGTCAAACTTGCAAGGCTGCAAAAACAATTTCCGTTTATTTCGTTTTTAAATCGTGATACGCCAGATTTTTTGATTGATTGAAACTAAAACCCTGGACGCATAAATTCTTCCTAAGTGCAACGCCTTGCTTCTCTGCGCACTTGATTTCGGGCATCCGCAGTGAAGCTTCGGTTTGAATGATCTTGATATTCTACACGTATAATACATGGAATTGTATTCCGAGATTTGTCGCGTTTAATTTCTCTAGATCTAGTGCACTTATTCGTGCCGTTTGAGACTTTATCGAGACCAGTTCGTTATCGTATGTAGTGCTTGAAATTTCGACGCTTCGCTAGTTCGCGAACTCCCATTTGACGTTCCCCAGCGGACGCCATATTTGCTACCCCGAGAGATCCGGCCGTTTTCGGCGTTATATGTTCATCCATCTGCATCGTCTAAGTTACTTCAGGTAGTTAGTGTAATGCGATTACTTAATGGTTTTTATTTCTTGTCCTTTCGTGTACGTCTTCGAGGTTGAATCTATTTTATGTCCGCACGTTCATGCCCAAGAAATAAGTTGCTTTCGGTTCGAGCCTTAGAATCTTTCCCCCTCTCCTGTGGTCCCGCTGCTCTCAGTCATCAGTGAAACGAAGAATCAGCATTTATTAAATGTGAAATTCGATACTACCGACAGCTCAGCTACTCGCCGTTTCTTGTTTCGTCACCTGGGTTATGGTGTTTTCTCTATCGGATCCTGGTTTATCCAAAACTTTCTAACGGTTTCTGAATCGGCTACGTTGCTGGATTGGGAGAGAAAGCTTCTCTCATATTTGGTAACCAAACCAATGTTACTTTGTATTAGTGATATAACCCGTAGATTCTTGGTACGCAGTTTTGACTTCTTTGGCAACAACTTTCAGTTGTATGCTAAATTTTTCACGAATCTACGGCGAACTTTCCGGCATGGTACACAACAGTTCCTTGTCCCGTCGGCCTAGCGTCTATTGACAACTTTTTGGGAAGCGTATCACTATTTGTACCCTTTCACAGGTTCTATGCTCAATTTTGACCCTGTTTTTCAATTTATCCCCCTTTTCGCCACGAATTATCATTTTGTAATGTTTCTTTTCAGTTTGTATCATTGAGTGGTTGGCTTCGACCTGATGTATTAGAGATACATATTGCCCAGTTCCTATAGTGATTTGAAAGTGAAACGATTGCCACTTAGTGGCAATTGCCTGTACACAATGACAGAAGTACACAGCAACCACGTTATTGGTGGAATCAGCATGAACAAGTACTTATTGTTTCATTTTTTGTTTTCTTTTATGGTTTGAGCTTTGTCAGCTGCTAACTTGCAATGTCTTTACTTAGGGACTTGGATGACGGAATTGGCTGGAAATCCAAACTGAAGATCCCACCAAAGGATCAGAGAATCAAAACAAGTGTATGTATCTAATTTAATTCAAGAACATCTTTTAGGCTGGTAGACTCCTTTTTAGTATGGTAGACCTATGCTTCTGCTCTAATATTTTTAAAACAAATTGCAATATGATGAAAGCAGATTGGATTCCCCTTCATTCGTATCTGAATGAGATCTGTGCTCTGAATACATAATTATATTTTTCCCCTTAATTTTGTATTGGTCTGTATTGGCCCATCTAATGATGAAAACAGATTGGATTCCCCTTCATTCGCATTTGAATGAGATTTGTGCTCTGAATGGAATATACTTTTTTTGGTTTAAACTACATATTATTGTATGTGTATTTAATTCATTTAATGATGAAAACAGATTGGATTCCCCTTCATTCGTATTTGAATGAGATCTGTGCTCTGAATGAATTGTTTTTATTCTTGGTTTAAATTACATAATATTGTATGGGTCTTGAACTCATTTTATGATGAAAACAGATTGGATTCCCCTTCATTCGTATATGAATGAGATCTGTGCTCTGAAATAGCTATGTAACTCGTGGACTACAATGTGAAGAAAAATTGGATTCCCCTTCATTTGAATTTGAATGAGATCTGTGCACTGATTAGTTGATTGATTGAATTCAATTTATTGTCAAGTACTTATCTTTTGCTTTTGCTTTATATTTAGGATGTCACAGACACTCGAGGAAACGAGTTTGAAGAGTTCTGTCTCAAGAGGGAGCTTTTGATGGGCATTTTTGAAAAAGGTTGGGAGAAACCATCCCCCATCCAGGAGGCTAGTATTCCTATTGCCCTCTCGGGTAAGGATGTGTTAGCTCGGGCAAAGAATGGAACAGGAAAGACTGGAGCGTATTCTATCCCAGTTCTTGAGCAGGTGGATCCGAAGAAAGATTGTATACAGGGTAAGTTGGTTCTATTTGTCTTTGTTTGGTTTCTTAGTTGTCTACACAGTTGACTAATTGTGGTTGTCATCCAGCTCTTGTCATTGTGCCAACTCGAGAACTGGCTCTACAGACTAGTCAAATTTGCATCGAGCTTGCAAAGCACATGGATGTTAAAGTTATGGTCACAACAGGTGGCACAAACTTAAGAGATGACATCATGAGAATTTATCAAAAAGGTAATGTGTTTTACATGAGACAATTCCTATTCTTGCATTTCAAAGCTCTATAATTGTGTATTTATTTCAGTTCACATCATCATTGCTACACCAGGAAGAATTCTGGACCTTATGGATAAAAATGTGGCTAACATGGAAAATTGCAGAATTCTAGTCCTAGATGAGGCAGACAAATTATTGTCACAAGATTTCAAGGGAATGTTGGACCATGTGATCTCACGGCTACCCAAAGAGAGACAAATTCTTCTGTATTCGGCTACTTTTCCCTTAACAGTAAAACAGTTCATGGAAAAACATTTGAAAGAGCCATATGAAATTAACCTGATGGAAGAACTTACACTCAAGGGAGTCACTCAATATTATGCTTTTGTTCAAGAACGGCAAAAGGTTCATTGCCTCAACACGCTGTTCTCTAAGGTATGCTCATTTTCATCATTTTAGCATTCTGTTTTACTTCTAGCACATTACTTATAATTGTATGTTACAGCTCCAAATCAATCAGAGTATCATATTTTGCAACTCAACCCAGCGAGTGGAACTCTTAGCCAAAAAGATAACTGAACTGGGGTATTGTTGCTACTACATTCATGCCAAGATGGCTCAAGCCCATCGAAACAGAGTTTTCCATGACTTCAGGAATGGTCTTTGCAGAAATCTTGTTTGCTCAGGTCAGCAATAGTTCTGAACACAAAGTTTTTGATGATTTGATTTCTCTACTTGTCACTAATTTTGCTTTGATTTTTAGATCTCTTTACCAGAGGTATTGATGTCCAAGCAGTAAATGTTGTGATCAACTTTGACTTCCCAAAGATGGCTGAGACATACCTTCACCGCATTGGTCGATCTGGAAGATTTGGTCATCTTGGAATTGCCATTAATCTAATCACTTTTGATGATAGATTTGCTCTTCATCGTATTGAACAAGAACTTGGCACTGAGATCAAGCCTATTCCAAAGGTTAGTGCATCTATCCATTTTACGTTAGAGGAAACTTAACATTTTCAATGTGTCTAATTTTTGTATTATTTTTAACCTGCAGGTAATTGATCCTGCCTTGTATGTAGCAAAATCACTTGATGATTCGCATGCCATTGAAGAAGCAAATAATGTGAGTAAGTGAAGGGTTTGTTGACACTGCTGTCATTCTCTTCAGTAAGTGTTCCTACACCAATGAACTTTTATTTAAATTTGTAGGGCAGTTAAGTGACTTGTTTATTTTCTTTCCAAACATGATGTACATACTGTCTAAAAAATTCATTAAGAAAATCACCTCGTTACTGTACGAGCCATTGTTATTGTAGCTGTGCTAATGTCTATCAGTTGACAAGTTTTGTTTCGTTTGGGAGAAGTGTTACAAGGTACTAAAACACTCCAGTTCTCCTATTGGTGAATAGAAATGTTTCCTTTGTTAGATTTTTATACAATTTATATAGTGAACGATGCCATTGAACTTTGGCTTTATGAGATAGTCTGGAATTGATGGATTAATGCACAGCTCTATGGAAGTAACATTTTACATTAGCAACTACCTGTGATAATGTTTAACGATGTTAACTTATTTGGCTCTAATGAGGTTAATTCGACTGAAAAATTATGAAATTTCGGAGTGTTCCTTCATCAAGCTGTGCATGAGAGACTAGTATTGTCAATTTATTTTTATAACCTGAAAGAGGAACTGCAAGCAGCAAATAGGGTAAAATTGGGATAGATCATCTTGTATGCATGAGTGGAAGAAGTGGAACTGTTCAGTGATGTATGTTCACATTCACCATCTTGGATCCCCTCATACATCAGTGTACTTGTACCTTTGTACTATTTTGTCCACCATTGGCCATATTTCTCTGAATTTCCCCGATTTGTTGTTCGTGTTCCTCTCATGTACTCTCTACCGTACTTCAGAGCAATATTGGTGCGGTTGTAAGGAAAGGACTAGGGTTCTTGTTGATCTGTAAATGTGTAAATTTAAATTTTTGAAATCATTCATGTCACTTGTTACAATCTAACAGTGATCTTGTCGTGTGATGTCTTTTTTCCCCCCCATTCTTGTTCTTTTTTTTCTTTTTTGGAGAAAATGACTCCTGTACATGAAAGTGAGAATGGTGTGTGTATGTGTGGGAAAATGTAATTGTATATAATCAAATGTTGAACAAGAATATCTTAAACGAATTGTAAACTTGTGATGTCGCAATTGGTTGCTGATAAGTTATTGTTATCTGCCAATGTGGAGTCTTTGGCAGTTTCAAATTTTCATCCTGTGATTATGGGGATCCATCTAGTCAGAGGCAAGCCACAGCTTGTTCTTTCAAATGCCTTTGATGTGTTTTTTTGCTGTGGCTGGTGGTACTGTCTGAATGTCTTTACTATCTACACACACTGACATTTTTGCAATAAATTTTGTTAATGTATGTGTGTACTGTTCAGATCTTAAGCTCATGGGAGATGAGGTAAATGGTCAGTATGTTCAAGAACTGTTATGGCGTAGACCCACCATAGCGATCTTTACTGATGCAAGGTCATCATAGCTGAGGAGCGCTTCTCCCATTTAAGCTAGTTCAAATTTTGGCTCAACATTCTAAACAGCTTAGTGTTCCTCAGGGTCTTCCAGTCTACAGTGTCTCGTGATCCAGTCTTCGGCTTTAAATTTGTTGTAGTTTGGCTTGTAGTGAAGAGCATCAGAAATTCTTAATAAATTAAATGTTCAATTGGCTGAAGACTGATCACTTAAATTCTAAAAAATAACATTAAAATGTTTGGTTCTACTCGATTTTGAACACTGTAGACTTTCTCTTTGCCATTGTGAAACTCATTTGGTGTTATTTATGTCTGTTTTGTTCTCAGAAGTTGTATGTTTCTTTTTACTGAGAAGTTATCTTCAGTTTTTTAATGATTTCTATTTGTTCTTTCATATCATGTTTTGATCAGGTTATTTCTCATTGGCTGAATTACAAAGAAAAAGCTCTTCACTATAAATTTGTTTAATTTGCCCTGTATCACCTATTATGAAGTTTATTAATTTCTGCTCCAGATCACATGCACTATATTTCATGTACGACTCAATTGCTATCTACAATGAATAGTTGAAGTTCAGGCTCTAATTAAAATTGCTTATACAGTACAGTTTTTATTGACATATGTACATGACACCTAAACAAAACTTCAAGATCATTCTCACATTTGCTCACTGTTAACAATTGGAGTCACTCATACTAGCGTACTTTCTTTCACTGAAGCTCTTGACCAAGAAGAGACAGCTGAAAGGAGAGAAGATAATTAGGTCTTGCTGTCAAAAGACCTGCAAAACATTTACAAAACATCGAAATAGTGAATTTACCTGCTTCAAAAACTGTTTGGCATTATTTAAAGTTGATGAGCCATATATTATCCTCTTGGTTGGTCCACCAGCTCCAGCTTTTGACTGAAAGGTTTGAGTGTAAGTAAAGTACGCTAACAACTTAAAATATGAATGTAGCATTATTTAAATCTTACCTTAGTGTAATCTACAAGGTTCTGATACTCAATGTAATTGCCACCACCAACGACAAAGACAATAGCTTCTTGAAATGGGGTGCGGTTGCGTGGTACTTGTGATGCATCAGTTACTCTCAGCTGTTTTGGGTCAAAGTAGCGATAATCATCCGTCTCTTGAGAGGCCTTTAACTCCATGAGTTCATCCACAATTCTTGTTACTGGCAGGTTCTGAAATATATATGTAATTCTTAAGATGTTCATCATCGCAAAAAATACTGAAATATTGATAGACCAGAACTTATTGGAAAAACTCACATGTCTTTTTACTACAAGATTCTTGACTCCTTCCATGACAAAGGAGGATCCTTGGGAAACAAGCTTAGAAAACATGCTGACAGTTTTCGTACCGCCACCAACATACTGGTTTGATGTAGCTGCCATTTTAGCGTAAGCCCTTGATGAAGAAAAGAAAGGAATGTTTTGTAGGAATAAGAACAAGACAGTCTACAAACAGCTGCAATGGAAAATATTTGTGCAAAATTGCTTAAAGGCTGAAGTAAGAAAAATATGAGAATTACTTCCAACGTTTGATGTAGTTCAGTGGATTTAGATCACATCCTGCATTTTGTAAGGCGGTAGCAAACCTGTCCACTTCCACCTTCAGTAAAAATCAAAGTGGACACAGCCAAAAAAAAGCAAAAAAAACAAAAACAGGGTGAGTTATTAATAATAAAATGATCAAAATAATCACCAGAGAATGTAGGAAGAGTTAAACAAACCTCTGACATTGAGCTGCAACAAATGTAGTGAATTATGAATAGTCTCATTTTGTCATCAGGGGTGATTCCAGCATCCGAGTCAGAAATCAGTTCCAGCAAATTACGATCTAAAGCTGCCTTGCTCATGATCTTTTCTTCCAGTTCAAAAAGTGTGTCTAACCGTCTAGTTTTGATTGCATTCAGTATACCTACGCAATGAAAGAAGATTTAGAGATATTAAAATGATTCAACCAAAACTGTAGATGCAGAACTGAAAACATTATTGTTAAAAATTAATCTGACCTGTGGCAATGGTTGTGTGCATATCAATTAGACGCTTCTTCTCTAAAAGTTGAGGTAATGAGTTAACAGCGCTGGTCAGCTTAGCAGTATTATCAGATACCATTGCCATTGCTGCATCACTATCATTATCAATTCCCTATGTGAAATAATTGTTTTAATCAAGGAAAGGGGAGGATTCGTAAAAGAACCTTGAGAGAAAATGTACCCTACCATGGATGCTTTCAACTTTTTGACCTCCACCTCTGAGGAACGGTACTCCTCTAGTTCTTCCTGAATGGCCTCAGCTACTGTTGGAAATGGACTGCCTTTGTGTGTCATCCAAAATTTATCTTTAGAATCAAGATCACAGGCTCTTGTTTTTGCCTTTGCACCTCCAGCTGGAGAACGCCCAGCACTTTCTTCTACAATCACTCTATTCAAAGCAAGATCAAGAACATCATGGGCTAGCGCCTGATAAGTCCATGTATGGTGAAGTGGTGTAGCCATATCAACATTTCGATCAAGGATAATCAGGAGAGGCCTCTGGAAGCTAGAAAAAAAAAAATGAAAAGTATACAAAGGCTGAAAACATGCTACATTAAGCACATCATTGATAGACATGTATCACACCTGTAAGTTCCTGCTTGAGATGCATCCATCATAAAAAGACTGTTCCGTGTATCTCTAAGGTTTTCACGTAACTTTTTATCTAGTTTTTCAGCAACCATTTCAGCTGCATTCCCCCTAGGACTACGTATAATAGGCACTGTCCCTGAGGGTTTAAACAATAAAATCAGTGGTAAAAATATGATAATAATGATTTTCATACTTCTCCTCAGCTAGAATAATCAGTACCGACCTAATGTAGCAAATACTGAGAATAAGCTATCGACAATTGAGTCCATTATCGATTCCATTTCAGAATCTTTTATTTCTCCACGGTTGATGGCTATAATTTTAAAAATTATGGTGAATCATTTTTGAACCAGTAACTAGAATCAAATTATTGGACTGTAAGAGCCGCACATTACCATAGTAGGACAATGAATCACTATTCTGGTGACGTAAAATAAACATGTCATCTTCTAGGGAGATGAAGTTAAGATACTGATCATAAACTTTGTTGATGCTAGAAACACAATTTGAACTAAGAGATGCCGCAGCTAAGTCTTCGAGTCTTTGACGACTTATAGGAGATATAAAATTAAGATGATATGAGTCATAAAGGCCATTGTGTAGATCTTGACCTATTCTACCAAGATTCTCCTCTGTTGGCATACAGAAATATACGGCTGGAACTTCAGGGATGGGATCACGATCAGAGTGTAGTTGTCTGCGAAAAGTTATTTAAATTAAGTACAAAATTAATGCACAATGATTGTACTGAAATTTCTAATTCCACTTACACGTGAAGTGTCACACCAAGTTCTCTAAGGTCTTTTATTGACACTAGAGGAGAAATAATATCTTGTCCATATCGGTCATAAATGAGGATCTTCCAAACTGGTTCAGCAGCTTGTCCTCGACCTTGCGGATCATTTAAATTTAACATCTGCTTTAATGCATCTGAAAAAAATGGAAGAATTGAACTGTTGTTGGACTTGACAAAATAGTTGTAAAAATACAAACATACAGGCAAAATGGGAATGCTCATGGTCTAAAACATTAACGATGGAGTCAGCGATAGAAAGAGATAGTTTAGTTGGTGACAAAAGCAATTTGAATGCAAAATTACCTTAGCAAGTAATAAGAATTTGAAAAATGGTTAGGATAATGAAAATAATAATCATAATAAGGGTACAGGTTATGATCAAGTATATATGTGGTCAAAGACAAATCGTGCTTTTTTATATGAAACATTACTTACTTATTTGCTTTTCTCGTATACTTGTCATTTTTACCGCGTGTCTTAATCGTTAACATAAATTTGCAACGAAAAATCGAGGTTGGTGACGTGTACTTTGGACGGTGGCTAGGTAAACGATGCGGGGCATGCTGCGAATAATGCTGAAAATGAGTGTGGACACAACTGGAGGTGGTCCGTCGATGTACTTGTCTCAAATATCTCAAGAAATTAATTTAAACTTGAGTGGTTGCTTTTGCACCTCTTTCTGAGTGGGGCAACTGGTTGGCTTCTCCATTTCCAGATCGTATTTTTGAAATAATTGTCATAGGCACTGGTCTTCCCCCATAATCAGCTGTTGTTGACAGTTCGCCCTGCTCGCCGCCCCAGTGGCCGGCTGAGCGCGACGTAAACATCCAAGCGCTTTAGCGCTTTCGCCTTATCACTAATTTTAGTAATCGGACGGCAACAGGTCGGGGGTCACGGCACGTCAATTTCATAACTTTCTGTATTATCATCTCCCTTCAACGCGACACTCTTTGGTTACTGTCCAAAGACGAGCCTGTAGGAGTGTGTGTGCATCACTTCTGCTTGAGAACATTTAAAATTCAGCATGATGAATTTATCCAGGAGTCATAGGCTCCTTCGAAAGGTCAGTAATCACACTGTTTCCTGCTCATACTGTATAGTGTTACTTTATTCGATTCAGCAAATTGCATTGAGCGATAGAGGTTAGTTTCTTGTAAATAACAAGTTTATCACATACTTTTTTGAAATCCCAAGGTTGTGAAACAGGAGTCT